TACCGGCCTGTTGTTCAGAGATAAATATCGATTGGCTGGCTGTTTCCTTACTAAGTGATGGTCGAATCCAAGTGCTGTCCTTTGCCGTCATGATCACGAAGGAGCCGTTTGTAATCTGCACTGGTTAATCCAATTCCAACGACTGACTTCACGTTCCTTTGGTGGCCAATTGAGTGACGTTGAAATTACCGCAACTTGGTCACTCGAATAGAGTGCCGATTGACTCATCACAGCTTTATTACCGACCCTATGTACCTACCGACCCTATTTCCCAACTTTACATTCTAGAACGACGTAACATTGAGGTAACCAATGCAACTGTCAATCCGTAACGAGCGCAGGGCGACGTAAACGACGCTTTCGCATCTTTTCGCTCGGCTCACGGCGCCGTAACGTAACGCCACGGTCTAACGTGCCGCCATAACCCAGGCACTGTCACAATGTACGGTCCTCCCACAGGGCTCCATCTCAAAGCCAACATTCTGCGTGCATATTGCAGTGTATAGCCACTGCGCGCGCCCGGTTTCCGTGACCATGTCGGCGTGCTCGTTTCAGCGGGGACTTTCTGTACGGGATGGTGCGTCTGCCGCTGCCGATTCCGGATCTCGCCGACCTCGTAATACGCTCTGCCCGGTCTCTATCTGACTGCTGCTTCGGGTCGACCGACTGGCCACCCTTAGGTTGACCCTCACCGCCCTCACACCCGCAGCACCGCTTTCTGTCGTACTTTGCGGCTGTGTAGCGCTGGTCGGCTCCGGGCCGGCGGCCTGCCGCGGTTCGGTCACCGCCTTGAGCGCTGTCTTGACGCCACAGACGGCTCCTCGTCACTGGATGCTGACGTGTCTGTCCGGCCCACCCACGTATGGTCCTAGCAGCGTCAACGCAATGCACCTCATCACGCACATGCCATGCCTTGTGGGTTTATTATTTTCGTATGACACTGTCACCTTAGTCACTGATGCCTCAGTACCGTTGTTTGTTATGTGGACCCTATTTCCTCAGCCGTTGGAGACGAATGCGTAGAGAGCGTTGCTGAAGATTCCACTGCTGAAAACCATCTAGCGAGTCTCTGTCCAGTCTGCTGCCAAGTTGAGACCTGAATGCTTCAACATATGATTGTTTTCTGCGACCACGATCCATATTTTCTTTTCCTGTCTCGCCGCCGTTTTGTGTTCAGCCCAAGACGTTCGTGCGGAGCACTCCGGCAGCGTTCAATTGCCATCAGACTCTGTTACGGCTGTCGCTGTAAGTGCGGCCCAGCCTTCCAGCGCCCGCAGCCGTCGCTGCTGGCCGACTGATGACGCCCCGGTCCGCGGCCGGGATGGCTGACAGCCCAGGACTGGCTGGCTTCGGCTGACTGACGGGACCTGATGCCACGCCGCCTCTTCTCCGCTTCAGCGCCAGCAGTTCGAGGAGCTGGGGAACCCACGCTTCCAGCATCTAAGCATGTCTGCCGAGTTGCCGGCCGCGACCCGACCCCAGGTCACCGTCAGACAGTTTCGAGAGGCCGTCGGCAAGAAAGGTGCGCCGGAAATCACGGCCATGACCAGTGACATCCGCATCAGATGTCATAGCAGTCTTTCGACTGGATGTTGTTTTTGCGACGCGCGTGGACCAAGGTGTGCGTGATTGCTTTCTGATTTGGGTCGTGTCTATGGCCCGGAACCTCGGTGATCCCAAGAGCTGAGTCCATACTTGGTGACGGCGGCTGGACTGCACAGCATCACCAGTTCCCGTGTCCGAGCCCGCGCACGTGCTCGGTGACCGGCGCCGGTCTGTTCCAGTGCTGGACATGGAGTACGCTCCGGTCAGCCGAGACTTCGCCAAGCTGGGCGTGCCGCAGAGTCTGCGCGGCCGCATCTGGGGCCAGATTCTCGGCGTCCGCATTGAGGAAAAGGTGACCCAGCTAGCCAGACGGGGATGAAAATAGCACAGGGCGCCGATGCGGAAACCACCCAAAAGAGGCGACGCGCTGCCGCCGGACAGCTGTGCCGACACCACCGGACAGGGACAGGCAGTGTCGGGAAAGTATGGGAGCACCTAGAGCATGATGGTAGCGCTGCCGGGGAGGCACGTCAAAAAACTGGACGGTTCACGATCTCACAACACTTCACGGCCTGCAGCCAACTGCGGTGTGTGGTGGAGGCGAGCTCTGACGGCCTCGCCGTCCGCAGCACCGGGCGCGCTACCGTGACCTGCAGCGGGCCGTGCTACAGCACGACCTGCTGGCCGACCGTCTGGTGGCGCGCGACGTCCAGCTCACCGCCGGGAACGACGACCAGTACTTCGTGTTCGCCGAGCAGCTGCGCGCCACACTGCTGCGCTTCCTGCGGCACACGGAGCCTCTGGCGGCGCTGGCGGCGCTGCCCGCGCAGCCGGCGCGCGCCGCCGCCGCCGGCGCGTCGCCACACGACCACGTCGCCTACCCGCCCTGCGGCGTCGTGCCTTTCCACGGCTTCTCTATGTACTGTGAGTGATGTGGGGTGGGGCAGGAGGGAGGGGATAGGGGGCGCTGAGTGTCCGGAACTGAAACACCAGCTCTTTAACGCTACCCTTCAATCACCGACAAACCCCATTTCTGCTCTTGGAACAATGCAAAGGGCCGGTGGTATGCACTGCCGCCGGTATCCCCCAGACCCCAAACGGTCACCGTGGAGATCTGGCCTAGATCCAGTCCCAGCAGCCTGGCAGCGGATGTTATGATTTGCCTGCAGGAGACCTTTCGCAGAGCACGCAACAGACCTTTCGGAAGATCCCGCTGCTGTTTACACGTCCAAGGCTCCATACCGAGCGTGCGACCTTTTGACATACCGCTTAAGCTACTGAAACTTTCACTCCCGACAGAGGCCGCGTCTGGAGTCCTACACCATGGGCCGCGCACTTCGCCGTGAGATCACCGGTCCGCCGCGCCGCGGACGGCTCGGCCTGACCGGACCCGACGCTTCTCCGTTCCAGTGGCACCGCTCTGTTTCGTGTTCAGCGACGCCGTGGAGCTGCTGTTCACCTTCGAGCGGCTCTACGTGCGCTACTTCGTGTTCCTGCACTCGCTGTCCAGCCGGCCCAACGGCATTGTGTCGATCAGCCTGCTCCTGGAGCGCCTGCTGCGGGAGCACGAGCCCAGGCTGTGGCTGCACTGCCGACAGTGTCGGGTTCAGCCGTGAGTGGGCGCGGCCCGGCGAACTGGTCTGCTAGGTCAGGGAACCCTGACACGATGGTCGGGACTGCCCTGACCTCCAATGACGGACCAGTTGTGCCCTCCTGTTACGGTTCGGCTTCAGCCGGTCTAGGCAACGCAGCACTAGAAGACAGTGCCTTGCATCTCATTGGTCCGACATACACTGCTGTGCTCCACTGACGCCCTACGTCTCCACCCCCCCCCCCCCCCCCGCCCCACCCGACAGTGTCTTCGTAGGTTCCGAAGTTTTGACTCACAAATCTCGAGGTTCGCTATGCTACACCACCGCTGACCTCCACCCCCTCTCCCCACGCATACGGCCGTTTACTCTCCCCTCCCTTCCCACTACCGCCAGTCATGAAGCTGGCCAGCTGTCGAAGTTCCCCTGACCTCGGCATCCGCTCTGTCGTGACCTGTAACTCCGTCCGCGTTTGCCGGCAGACTGCGCCTGGTGTTCCGCTGGCTGGTGCGCGCCTTCTCCGGCTACCTGAGCGTGGACCAGCTGCTCCAGCTGTGGGACATGCTGCTGGCCTACGACTCTCTGCAGCTGCTGGCCCTGCTGGCCGCCGCCGTGTTGGCGTACCGGCGCGCTAATCTGCTGGCCGCCAGCAACCAGCCGACGATGGAGGTGCGCGAGCGGCGGGCCGGTCGCCGGGCAGACCATGGTCATGCCGGCGCCGCGGCGGAGATGCCGCCGCACTGCCGGCAACACCCCCCGGCGCCCCCACCGGCCAGACGTTGGGGAGCTGTCAAGAGTGTTTTTAAGGCGCTCTATTATTTTAATCAACTCAACGTCACACGAGCAATGCTAAAATCTGCAGAAGCGGGGGGGGGGGGGGGATGAAGCCTCTTTCTCACCTTGTGATGACAGTGTGTGCCTACGCATCACTTTTGAGCCCATTACCGGCGGAAATCCGAAAACGCATAAGGCAGCTCCAGTTGAGGCTGTACTGGCCGACCCACATCTCTAGAAGGGGCTGTACAGGCCGGTCCACGGACCCGTCACGGTCGACTCTGGATGGTATCAGCAAGCGGCGCTCAGTGCGTGGTATGGTTTTTTACGCAACAATGCGCAGCAATGAACCCCCTCAGCTGGCAGCACAATAAGCTTGTAAGGTATTCTGTGACCAGGACGCAATCCAGAAGCGATTCGATTTTACACGTCACAGCGGGATGCGCGCGTCGCCAGGCGGTGCTGGCTGACCTGTCGTCGATCCGGGTGGTGCCACTGCTGCGGGCCGTGCTCGGTCGCTGGACCTCCTAGAGCGGCGCCCAGCTCGGCCGGCTCCGGAGGTGGCGAGGGCAAGACCCTCGGTCGTGTGAGCCGACCGACCGCGGCGGTGGGCGGCGCTCAGCTCGGCCGGCTCCGGATGGTGGCGAGGGCATGGCCCTCGGTCGCGTGAGCCGACCGGCCCGCGGCGGCGGGCGGCGCCCAGCTCGGCCGGCTCCGGAGGTGGCGAGGGCATGGCCCTCGGTCGCGTGAGCCCACCGGCCGCAGCGGCGAGCGGCGCAGGACCGGCCCGTACCGCTCCCGGGGCGGCGCAGGACCCGGCCCGTACCGCTCCCGGGGCGGCGCTGCCCCGGATCCGCCCGCCACTTACTCTGCAGGGACCATGACGGCGGCCCACTGCAGACTGACGAGGGTAAGGCGGTGGAAGAATACATACTTAAGTTCCGGACGAATGGTTTGTATATGAGTCAGAGAGCGTCGAGACTGTAACCTGACCGGGTGAATTATGGGACTGCCCGAAAGGCCAAGAAATAGACTAGCTTCACCACGGCACTGTATTATTGGTACGTCCATCCACCTCGTAAAACAACACCACCGATTAACACTGGCAGAAGCGATGTTCAGGCTCAGTCGTCGTCGCTGCCCGAGTCGTCCTCTGATTCCTCGTCGGCTTGCTCCAGCCACTCCACCAGACGCCGCACCTGGGGTCACAGCGCACCGTCAGAGGTCGCTGGCCGCACTGTTTCGCCACAAAGACATCGGGCCGTGAAACCCAGCACGAGAGTGAAGCGGACGGGAATGACCCATAAGCCACGTGGTGGGCGCCGCCCTTCTCTGCACGACCTTGTAACGGCGTTGACCTTTGAACACACGCCGCACACTTCGCCGCCGCTCCGGCGCGCTCCTCTGACCCAGACCCAGCGCGGGCGGACGGCTCTCACCTGCTGCCGGACGCGGACCGCCTCCGGCGTCAGCTCCTGCGACTCGTTGTACCAGGCCAGAATGGTGGTCTCGGACAGGATGTCCTTCTGGTACAGCACCATCAGCACCTTCGCCAAGCAGGCCGCCATCGCCGCGTGCTCGCAGCTAAACGTCTGCCAGCCACGGTACCACAGTTACAGCCTACACAGTCAGCTTCAGAACAAGGGAAGCCTGTCAGAAGGTTCAAGATAGCTGTGTGCCTCCATGCCAGCTAAATTCACAGAAGCGTGTAGCAAGTGAATCTAGAGGTCATCAACAGAGCGCGGTCTCCAGCCGAGCACATCCGCCCGCGGCTGAAGTCCTGACGCGTGCAGTACCGAAGGTCGAAGGCCAGGCAAGACTGACCTCGAAGGCTCGTCCCAGGCTCCGTCTGCCACCAGTGGCGGTTACACATGACCACAAGACTGACCTCGAGCGCCCGCAGGCAGCTCCACTCAGACTCCTCGTTCTTGATGTAGTTGGCCAACAACGGCATGAAGGTGGCCAGCACCGACTGCAGCTTGGCCAGGAAGGCCGGCGGCGGCAGCGGTTGGTCGCAGCCGTGCTCGGGCACGGACAGGATGGCCTGGAGCAGTGACGGCGGCGTGAGAGGGCCGTCCCGCATCACCGCAGGCGCGCGCGGGGCCCAGTTTGCCGCGCTGGCGGCCCCGGCGTCACGCCTGGACGCGCTGCTGCAGGTCTGCTCTGGCCACAAGCAGCGAGCTCGTCACACGCGGCGCACATCCATCTATCGCCGAAATCGACATGCCGTAAGCACGCCGCTCTTCTGCGTGTCTGGCCAGGTCATACCACGATTGTAACAAACGCAGAGATCGCCTCACCATACAAGTTGGTCTCATACGGACGTTTGGACAAGCGTCACAGGTGCTGCTGTCATCGACCACAAACTGCTTCTCAGCTTCCCGGCCCCCACGCGTCTTGTAGCGTCACAAAATACGCGCCTCTTAGAAAACAGTGTCTTTAAGATCATTCACAAACCGATGTCTAGTACAGGACATCAAAGGCGACAGCGCTCTCTCTCGACAAGCATGCAGGAGCATAGAGAAGACTGTGCCCTAGAACCTATCCCAAATATCAATTGCCCAGCCAACGTGCAAATAGAAACAAAATACGCGAGAAAAGCAAATGACAATCATTGGAAAGGCACAACACATGTAATACATCGGCGCACCAACGAGCCCCCCAAGCGTCGCCGCTGAACGCCAGAGCAGCGGCCACATCAGTGTACCGTCGCCATGCTGTGCCGGAGCCTCGCAGGCGTCACCGCGCGGTCTTCCCGTCGCCGCTCAGTCGGAGGACAGACTCCGGCGAGCTGGTGCAGACAGGCACTGCGACAAACCTCCTCACCTTGACCACCAGCGAGTTCAGTTCCTGGACGGTCACGTTGTAAGCGAACTTGGACGAGTTCACCTCCAGGATGAGGTTTTCCGTCCGGATCTTCTCACTGTAGCCGCGAACCAGGCTGTCCAACACCCTCGTTGTAGAACACTGAAAGGCCGCAGACTCACAGGCTTGCAGAAGGCCTTTTGGAGATGGGAAATTGTGACTAACATCCTCACCGAATTACCTTCAGCCCTAAGAATGGGCGAACGGACATGCCATTCACAGATTTGGAAGACGAGGGCAGGAGGGCGGATAAACATCGCACATTTTCTTTAAGCTATCTTAAGGCACGCACAAGGAATGCGAGTTAAGTGGGAGTGGGAATGAGTAAATGGCCTCACTCAATCGTCCTCTGCATTCCTTCTCAACGCTATTCTCTCGCTCTGGGTCATTCCAAAAAGAACCAGATGGCAATGTGTTTGTACGCAACAAAGAAACGGCCCATTCGAAACGATTTCGCCATTCATTGGTTCACATGTTTGTTTACGTGCTTTAGTGGAAAGACACGCATTGCAACACCATCACAAAAGATCCGGAAAAGTTCCGCGTCCTCAGGCAACAGCAAATAGCGAATCTCAAAACCCCTTAACGTTAAAACTACTGGGGCAGGGAATACGTTTGGCACGCAGAAGACGAGCAGCCTTCCAGAGCCATGCCATAGAGCGGGCCGGCGGCCGGCCGCCGCAGCGGGTGTCGCTCACTTCTGGTGTCGTCCAGAGGCGGGCTGGCGGCGCCGGACGCCCACTCCTCCCCCTCGTCGTCCTCGTCGTCGCTGCTCTCGCCGCTGTCGCTGCTGACGCTGGCCGGCGGCGGCCACGGCCGGGCCTAGAGGCGCCGCCGCCAGCGGATCATCCTCGTCGTCCGCCGCGTACACGAACCCGCGGCCACTGTCGCCCACCAGCTCACGCGGCACTGCCGGTACGGCACCGGGTCAGACGGGCACTGCTGGTACGGCACCGCCGCGTACACGAACCCGCGGCCACTGTCGCCCACCAGCTCACGCGCACTGCCGGTACGGCACCGGGTCAGACGGCACTGCTGGTACGGCACCAGCTCGGACGACACTGCTGGTACGGCCACCGGCTCGGACGGCAATGCTGGTACGGCACCGGGTCAGACGGCACTACTGGTACGGGCACCGGGTCAGACGGCACTGCCGGTACGGCACCGGGTCAGACACTGCTAGTACGGCACCGGGTCAGACACTGCTAGTACGGCACCCGGTCAGACACTGCTGGTGCGGCACCGGGTCAGACACTGCTGGTACGGCACCCGGTCAGACACTGCTGGTGCGGCACACCGGATCGGACACTGCTGGTATGGCACCGGGTTAGACACTGCTGGTAGGGCACCGGGTCAGACACTGCTAGTACGGCACCGGGTCAGACACTGCTGGTACGGCACCGGGTCAGACACTGCTGGTACGGCACCCGGGCAGAAGAAACTGCTGGTGCGGCACACCAGGTCGGACACTGCTGGTACGGCACCGGGTCAGACACTGCTAGTACGGCACTGGGTCGGACACTGCTGGTACGGCACCGGGTCATACACTGCTGGTAGGGTACCGGGTCAGACGCTGCCAGTACGGCACCCGGTCAGACACTGCTGGTACGGCACCGGGTCAGACGCTGCCAGTACGGCACACCGGGTCAGACACTGCCAGTACGGCACCTGGTCAGACAACCGCTGGTGCGGCACACCGGGTCAGACACTGTTGGTATGACACACCGGGCCAGACATTGCTGGTACGGCACACCGGCACAGACGACACTGCCGGTACGGCACCGGGTCAGACGGGACTACTGGCGCAAGTACTGGGATAGACGGGACTGTTGGCACGGCACCCAGCGCGAGGCACAAGCAGACTCTGACAATCGTATCTTCACCACAGCGCTGCGTAGACCTCTGGAACACCCACGCAAGCGTTCCCCTCCGCCCCCCGTCACATGTGCCCACCTTCGGGCTGCTGGAGGTCGCCGAACTCGTCCGGGCGCGGCTGGGCCGCCAGCCGGGTACCGGCCGGCAGCGTGCGCATCTCGTCCACCACCACGCCCGGACCCAGCACGCAGCCAGGCTCGAGGACCACGTCCGGGCGCAGCTGCACGCCGGCGCCGAGCAGCGCGCGGCAGGCGCGCGTCCGGTCTCCCAGCCGGCAGCCGGCGTCCAGCACGGCGTCCTCGAGCACCACGTCGTCGCCGAGCCGGCAACCGGGCCCGACGACGGCTCGCAGCAGGCGGCAGCGGAGTCCCACAATGACGCCGTCGGCCAGCGCCACGCTCTCCTCCAGCCGACTGTCCCTGGCGGGTGGAGGCGGCCGGCGTCAGCGGCTGCTACTGCGGCAAATAGAGGAATCCCTCCACCGATCTCTTGCAGTGTTGTTGAAAAGACGACGCAACGGGCGGTAGACTACCGAGCAGTCGTTCAGGCCGGGGCCCCACCTGCCAACGGTGGCCGTCCTGTGCCTGTAGACATTTCGCTGGATGCAGCGGATGTGGCTGGTGTGGCCGCGGTTCTCAGGAACCACCGGGTACGCCCAGCGGTCCATCACGTCCCGCCTGCGGCAACGGCAACAAACGATCAAACACATTCTGCTAACGACGAACGGAACATAGTGCGCCACGGAAAGCAATGCATGTGGGAATGTACAAAGTGATGGGCCAAACCTTGCTTACAGCGAGACATACCTATCGTACCTTATGACCTACGCAGTCACAGGGTTTTTTTAAGGAGTCTACACATTTCAGAATACCCCATTTTACATTCCGAGAAAGATTAAGAATGCAAGCTGAAATGTTGCCACTTTGGGATCTTCGGAAATGTTTGCTACTTTAGGATCTTTTCGTCTGAAGTAACTCCCCGCCATAAAACGCCAACACATCCCCCCCCCCCCCTCACCCCGGCACTCGCCGCCGTAGTCAAATGGGTCCAAGGTCGAAACTTGGTTGCAACGCGAGGAACCACTGTTAAAAAGATCAAAATTTGGCCAACAAGTTACGATATGAACCAGAAGATGTCACAACGCTCCAGGCACTTCCAAAGAGCAAGTCTTCCGCGGCGCGTAGACGAAGGCACGTGAATCTTTACACTCCTTATATCACGCTTGGTTTAAGTACCATCTCAAAGCACGTTAAGTTCGGAGCCATTTGAAAAGTGCAAAACGACAGAATACTTTGAGAAAAGCACTAGAATATTTCAGAAAGTGAACTTTGAGAAAACGCAAGAATTTTCGGGAGAAAAAAAAATCCTATACGAGTGTGCGCCGCAAAGTGGAGAGTTGGAGATGCCCGCTCTGCATGTGATATGTCTCGCTTGCTTCATCAGATTGGTCGGGACAGTCAGGCCCGCAGCGGCTGATACCGCAGCACTCACGTCACCGTCACCAGCGCGTTTCAGACCGCTGATCTGGGCAGCGTAGTCCGCGCTCAGGCACTTGTAGTAGATGGTGCTTCCCAGAATCTCCTCGTTAACGATGATGCCCTTCACGAAGTGGTCGCGCGTCTGGAAGTCAAAGTTGTCCGAGAAGAGCTGGGGCACGTTTGGCGAGCAGATGCTGATGCCCGGGTCCAGCAGGTCGTACCGCACCTCCACGGCGCTGGCCGCCTGGAAAATGTGCTGCACCACACACCCCGGCACCGTCACGTCAAGACACATCGCACAGTGACACCCAAACAACGACAGGCAGGTGCACGAGGAGGCGATCACCCTGCACCACACACCCCGGCACCGTCACGTCAAGACACATCGCACAGTGACACCCAAACAACGACAGGCAGGTACACGGGGAGAAGATCACCCTGCAGCTCGCGGTGGTGACTGAGTTTGATGATTGGGTGGGTGAATCTTTTTATATTTGTCATGTTGACCGAAGCAGTGGAAACAGTCTGCTGCAAATCAGTTATCATGACGAGCAAGGAAAAAAATATATATATGCCAATTTTTAAGTACAGCCTGCCACGCGCTGGCAACGCGAAAGTCAAAGATCTTACAGACCATCTTTATAAGCAAAGCCACGCGTGGATGACCCCGGCGAACACCACGACAATGTCGCTCTGCGCAGACCGGGGAGGGGGGGGGGGACAGGGATAAGGTGCGATTCCTCCGATCTGGCCCGTCTGGTTGCAGCCGGCAGTGGTCGGCTCCGCCGTGGAGACAGACGGCACCAGGCGAAGAGGGCCAGCCGACCGGCCGAGAGAACGGCAGTATGCCATGACGCGCCACACGGCCACCGACAGAATGGCCGAGATGTGCTTCGATTTGACACAGGACAGGGAGGCCCACCCGCATGTCCAACGCCCGGGACTGGCCAAGCATGACCTCGCCACGTGGACTGACCAGGGGAGGGAGGGGGGGAGGGGTGACCCTGCCACGCGGACAGGCCAGGGGGAGTGTGAACCTGCCACACGAGACTGACCAGGGGGAGTGTGACCCTGCCACGCCGACTGACCAGGGGGGAGTGTGACCCTGCCACGCGGGACTGACCAGGGGGAGTGTGACCCTGCCACCGCGGACTGACCAGGGGAGTGTGACCCTGCCCACACGGACTGACCAGGGGGAAGTGTGACCCTGCCACGCGGACTGACCGGGGGGAGTGTGACCCTGACACGCGGACAGACCAGGGAGAGTGTGACCCTGCCACACGGACTGACCATGGGGAGTGTGACCCTGCCACGCGGACTGACCAGGGGGAGTGTGACCCTGCCACGCGACTGACCAGGGGGAGTGTGACCCTGCCACGCGGACTGACCAGGGGGAGTGTGACCCTGCCACACAGACTGACCAGGGGGAGTGTGACCCTCCTGCTACGCCCACGCGGACTGACCAGGGGGAGTGTGACCCTGCCACGCGGACTGACCAGGGGGAGTTGTGACCCTTGCCACGCGGGACTGACCAGGGGGAGTGTGACCTTGCCACGCGGACTGACCAAGGGTGAGTGTGACCCGTGCCACGCGGGAACTGACCAGGGTGGAGTGTGACCCTAGCCACGCGGGACTGACGCAGGGGGATGTGACCCAGGCCACCGGACTGACCAGGGGAGTGTGACCTTGCCACGCGCGGACTGACCATGGGGAGTGGTGACCCTTGCCCCGCTGGCCGGCCGCCAGCCGCTGTGGTGCACCACGACGGGCCCGTCTCTTGGTCGGGCACGCCAGCAGCACTTGGGGCGGTCCCAGTGGCGGGGCCGGGTGGCGGCGGCGACGCCTCTCCGGTAACAGCATCGCGTTCAGTACCGAGCCCCGTCTCCGCCTTCCGGCCGCGCGCTGCCGACAACATGCAACGGTCACGGCGCACCGCCGGGCAGGGCGGAGCCGCGAGAGAAGCCTAGCCACACACGACCCGCAATTCGCTATACTGGAGTGATCTAAGGACCATACAGTTACACAGCATAGTGCAGGCAATCCGTATTCAAGTCCGACAGGAAGCAAGCAAAAATGAGAGCAGTGCTGCCTAGGAGTAATGTGCCCATTATGTACTGACAATGGTAATGTAACAATGGTAATGCTGTGTCATGACCTCACGACACTCTGGACGTACCAACACGCGTACAGGCAGACCACTCACACATCAATGAAAATCTTTGCAAAATCAAGAGCAGCACCGAATGTGATCCACTTTCCACGCAAGTGCTCAAAAATCGCCACTAACTAGTACCACAGATCGATTTAATCACGGACAGTGATCACGGTCAAGGCTAATATGTTTTTCTTGTTTGTAAATGACACACATGTATGCTGAAACACAATACTGCGGAAATCATACACATTCATTTCTGACGCATCTGTTTTCCCGTCACGTGCCAAGCCACAGTGTGGTCAGTATCTGTTTTCCCATCACGTGTCGAGCCACAGTGTGGCCAGTATCTGTTTTCCCATCACGTGTCGAGCCACAGTGTGGCCGGTATCTGTTTTCCCATCACGTGTCGAGCCACAGTGTGGCCAGTATCTGTTTTCCCATCACGTGTCGAGCCACAGGGTGGCCGTATCTGTTTTCCCATCACGTGTCGAGCCACAGGGTGGCCAGTATCTGTTTTCCCATCATGTGTCGAGCCACAGGGTAGCCAGTATCTGTTTTCCCATCACGTGTCGAGCCACAGGATGGCCAGTATCTGTTTTCCCATCACGTGTCGAGCCACAGGATGGCCAGTATCTGTTTTCCCATCACGTGTCGAGCCCACAGGGTGGCCAGTAAGCCCCCAGCTTACTGTGCTCCCTAATGATGGGCACGATGTCAACATTTGTGATGCAGTCAACTGACATGAGAGAAAGTCAGACTGGATGAGCGCCTTGGCATCCAGGTCTCTCATGACATCACCAAGAGAGAGGCAGTCTTCCGCCGTCTGGATGTGTATCACCATCGGATTGCTACCATCCAGCCAGCGGCTTGCACTGCCCGAAATAAAAAAAATCGGTCAGAAATACAGCTCACGCACACCGATTGAACGCCCTCGAGCAGAAGCGCAGGCAGGGGGCACAGGGGGCACGTACCCTCCCCTTAGGTTCTAAGGGGTCCGAAGGGCCCCTCGGAACCAACGACAAGGGACCTGATTTAAAAGTCTGAAGGGCCCAAAAAGCATGCCGGAGGTCGCATTCAGGGACTCCAGCCCGCAAGGCTGGGCGCTCCAATGCCAGCCAGAGGGCCCTATGCGCTAATCGCGGGTCCACCGAGTCCATAAGGGCCTGTCGGTCAGACACCACCAGTAACGCAAAGTCGCCTTCGTGGTAACATGAGCCTCAGGGTCCATGTCCCAGGCAAGCACGAGGCCAGAGCCAGATATTTACATTGGTCGGGCTCCAACGTCTGTCAGGGGCCCCACAGTCACTTACAGGGGCCCTGTATTGCCAAAGGGCCCTGATTCGGGCCAGAGGTAGTGTTCGAGGACGTCCGCAGAGCCAAGAAGGCCCACCGGATCCGATGATCAAGGGCCCGATTGGTGGGTCTGAAGGCGCAAGGAGCTGGTCAGCGTCTTATTAAGGAGCCTGGCTTGCTGGGATGGCCTCTCAAACAACAGTCAGCGGGCCCTTCGCGCCGATTGGCAAACCCTGCGTCGATTTGGTCTATGTATCGGTCAGGCGCCACCAGCACCGCGCAGTCGCCTCCATGTCGGTATGGGCCTGAAGGCCCATTTCCCAAACAGCGATAAAGCCAGGACCAGTAATTTACAATGGTCTGGGGCCTTCTATCTGCCAGGGACCAACAGCGCCTAACAGGGAATTCTATGTCAGCACAGGGCCTCCAATCGGTCGGGGGAAGGTCTGCTCAACAGGGACGGGGACGTGAGCTCAAATGACAGAGGGCCTCTTGCACTGGTCGGGGGCCTTCTGACACTGAAAGGAGACGTGACAACCTATGGCGAGTGCTCATGATGGAGCAGTGGAGGCATACTGTACCAGTCAGGGCCACCATTTCCACCACCAGATTCAAGCACTTCTCTGCATTGTTGTAAGACACAGTTGTTATCATCAATCTAGAAATCACACAGGTATAATATAAACCCGGAATATTTCTAAATGCACGATTTTATGCCACAAAGCATTTATAGGCATTTATTCAAAATGTGTCATCATTTTCATCGGCCTGTTGGCCACGGCCTTGTGTTAGCCACGGGACCAACGTTGCGCGGCCTATGAAGACTTCAACGCCTGGCGTTTAGTTTTTTGTTGGCAAAGATATGCGAGTATGCATGCCCAAACAATGTCAAAAATTGTATAATTGACTAATTCTGACTAATGTTGGACCTTTCCAGACAAACATGGCTTGGCCATGTTTATACAGATTGTTGACACATTTTGATCTCCCATCCACTTTTGCAGGGTCCCTTGCCCATCTCTGTATAACCCAGATAAGCATTTTGACAAAGTTTCTGAGTTCTACTGCTTTGAAGAGATCACTGGACCATGTAAAATGAAGAGAATCAGTAATCTATCTCATGCAGATGTTGTTTAACACATGACCTTTTTTCAGTTTACTGACTATTCTAGCCTTCAGACAGAATTGATCTTATGATAATGTCTGACTTCTATTCCTATCAGGATGGGAAATGTATGTATGTATGTATGTATATGTATATATTACCCACATACATACACATATATAGGTATATAGCATGCTCTCATTAATAACTGGGCCATACCTTGAGAGTTTTATGGGGCCCTTATGCTATGAGGGCTCTTTGTCAACCATGTGCCCCCCTTGTGCCTGCCCTCAAGAAATGTTAGCAAAAAATGTGCATTGTTGGGATGCCACACAGGCAGAAACACTCATGATGTGCAAATAGAACTACCATGGAGTGCAAATATGAGAACACCTGCAACACATGGAGAAATGCATATGTTATAACTTATACGCATCTGACTTACCTGATATATTCTTAACTTCATCAGGAGACTTGCATAAATATATGAAGCACTCATGTATCCCAACTGCTTCCAGATACTCCAAGGCATAGCCCAGTAGTGGCACATTCACCAACGGGACCAACCCCTGTAACAAAATAACCTTTCAAGGAAGGCTGTGGTCCATCAGGAGGATGCAATGAGGACTACTGGTGCCATAACTAAATATCTAACTGGCTCACTTTGAATACAAATGTGCAGATATAAACATCTTGGGACATGGTTGATACCGCCCTGCATACAACCAAGTTCACTATTGTTTTCAGGGTAATCCTTGAAACCATGGGTCAATCACAATGAGGTAAAAATGGTACTCTGTATATGAAAGAGAAGCCTTCTTCTGGGTTTTTTATATTATGAGTCAAAAGTTCTAATGTTAAGGTGACAGCCTTAATTTTACCAACAGTAGTAGTCAACTGACACTGTAATGCTCACTTTCATCACTGGGGCTTTATGACACACTCAGCTGCAGAGGCTACGTGACATTACCTGCCCCTTCATCCTGGCAGAAAAGACAGGCACTGTCGGGGATTAAACCCTGTATGGCTGACTTCCCAGATGAACTGTGATTAATGCAAACACCTTGACCACTGCATGACTGGCACCCCCTTTGTGTTGCTGGCTAATGTTAATTATGCTAAATAAGAATTATGATAGCATTGATATTAATGCTACATAATAACAGTGATTAATAATAATCATGGCAATCACAATGCTTGTGCATGATAAAGCTTAATCATTATCAGAATGTTAATTTGTGATCACATCACTATCATAATTTCTTAACCATAATCATTATTTCACATTACAGCATCATATGACTTGTAACTCTTGGTCTATTGAAAGCCTTCAACCTAACATTGTTGATTGTTCACCAGTTCTTATGTAGGAACATCTATTCTTGTAAACACTAGTTACATTCAGAGGAATCAAACTGGGTGCAAGGGAAAAAGCTTCACCATGAACCGCAATCCAGAAGAACACAAACCGGGCAGCGGTACCTTAGACACAGGCTCCAGATTACTACCTCCATATGCCAGGTATTAACACAGTATGTGCATCTAATACACTCTGCCACATCCCTTTTGTGCCAAGTGTCTAACATATAAATGCTACTTTTTTAATGTTAGCTTTGATGGTCTCTCTCTGATTGGTTTCACATTCATTAATTCAGAGCATTTGTTCTACAGCTTTCTATTCTATTTTATTTAATCATGTCAACACAGCATATATGACAACAGAACAGTAACATTCCGATGGCATTATGGGATCAGGAGATTATGATGAAACCAGGGCTGAGGGTGCCCAGAACAATGACATACCAGTGGTGAGTTTAAGAGAATAAGGTGCAATATTTCTCTGTAAAATTATCAGCCAAAAGCACAGCCTGGACAACATCTTCAGCCTTCAGCGCATTTGTTTGGTTCTTCTTCGACGACATGTCTAATACACAAATTTGAGCTTCCTGGTGGTGCGCTTGCGTTGATCGGGGTGTAATTTGGCCTGTGATACGTTAAAACAAAGCCTATTTCCACACGGAAAAACAGCAAAACCGATTTATCGATAACGCCTCAGCTTCGGTCACAGGGGCTACCACAGTAAATAATTAGCGCTTGCAGAACAGCCGCCTGCAAAGGACGGTTCCTATCACATTTGCGCCGGCTCTCTCAGGATCTCCGTTTCATGTCATATGGAAATGGTATGGGAATTGAGTGAGTTATAGTGGCGTTAGGCACTTGTAACGCAGTGAAGGCATTATAGCAAGGCCGATACTATATTACTGCTGTCTCTGAGTCCATTTGTGACGTACTAATGACTTTTCTCAACTTTTACAGCCTTTGCCTTTTCACCATTTGGGCTCACTACTTATTTGTAGCATGCAGCTTCAACATTGTTTTGTTTACGATGAGCTAAGATCATCACACTTCCCAAACTTTAAGATCTTTACAATTTGAACCGCAACTTTCGTCCCAACTGGAAGTTGGGACAGTTGTCTGAGAAAAATGCTCGTGAGGATAGGATAATCACTGGTAGAAATGTTTCACCATTAGTGTGAACGTTTTTTAAAACGGTTGTGAGCAGCTTGAGAATATGGATTGCCAGCAACAATTGCTGGCAGAGAAGGCATTTCCATTTACGAGGAACAAAGTACCTTACTGAGACAAACCGTACGACCAGATCGTTTTCATATTTTTAATTTAATTTCCTCTTTTAAATGAAGTTGGGATATCTTAAGAGCGGAAATTAAGAATAAATTTTACTTTCCCACGAAAAATCTCATTTTAAGCTTGCATTCTGTGATATTTCAATTTAAAAGTTAAGGTACTTGCACAAGTTATGATAATTGCCTCTGGGTTTAAAAAACCGGCGTCCCCGCCAAATACGAAGACTGCGGAGCCTTTGGGTTTGGTCCTGGTCGTGTGGACGCGCGAAATCTGTAGGACAGTGAGTTTATTTCATATATTGGTTGTTTCTGATTTGTGTGTGGGGTAAAAGTGTGAAGAAAACGGCAGCTCTGTTTTAATTCAACATTAACTATTTGTATACTCGAAGGGAATGTAGCTTGTTTCACATAGATACTGGTCGTACCCGGTAACTCAAGCTTGTGGCAGTTCGAGTCATGGCACGAACGTCGACCAAATGCCTGGAAGTCTCAGTACCTGGGTGTCAGTGGCACGGGCAGAATTTTCTGAAGAGGAGGAGGATCAACAAGAACTCATTACACTGATTTTTAAAACCTCTTGTCAGGAACCATGTATCAAACTAAAATAGAGGATTCAGTTGGGAAGGGGGGGGGGGGGGGTCACTAGCTCCCTTGGCTCTGACTTGGCTGGCCATTCCAGGGATAGCACTGCTGCATTAATGTGATCCTGCTAAAACAAGTCACTTAACTGGGCTGTAATTTATAATCATGGTCATTATTGCTTTAGTCAGTGCCAAAGCCATGTGTGTATTTTGCATATGGAGCAAATGGATTGTCATGATAATCAAGACAGCTAAGGCACCATTGACTTGTCAAGGAAAGTCACCATATGGTGTGCTTACTGTATGCCTATTTTAGCCCACAGACTGACATCCTGATTCAACACATACTTGTGTGGAAAGATGGATACACTACTCAGTGTGTCCATGTCCTTATTAGGTAAGTGTCTTAGCTTAATTTAGCTGACCAGAGTCTGTTACCAATGGTCACTAGGTTCTGGATTGTGAAATGGACATGTGATGGTTGTAGCTCTTACAGGTGAAATCATTAAGATAACCAGATGTGGTGTGCATACACCAGCTCTCATATCTTCATGTATTTAGGGCTTTCCTCATGTAAATATTAAAAAGGTGATAAAATTGGTTTTTGAGACCAGCTTTGTTCATATTTGATCTAAAATGCCTGAGTTCACTCATATACCACTTGTTGCTGCTGCATAATGTGCCAGTCATAAGGATTTGAGAACTGGTTACTGTGACCAGCTTGTTGCATGCCACTCACTATGCCTGTGCCTATCACCTGACAGAGTAGCTGAATGTACATCAGGTCAGTGTTTGTATAATCTGACAGGGTAGCTGGATGTACATCTGGTGGGTGTTTGCATCACCTGACAGGGTAGCTGTATGTACATTTGGTCGGTGTTTACAGGCCAGGCGGCCCACGGCGTGCCACAGACGCCACCGCAGCCGCCGCGCCGGCCGCTGGGCCAGCTGACTAACGTGTGCGCCACGCCCGACTGGTCGGGCGAGGGCCGGCGGCCGGGCGAGCGGCGCGCCGCCGAGCCGCGCCCCAGCGACAACGCCGCCCACGCCCATGACCAACCTGAAGCTGCTCACCACTATCGCTGCTTCGCAGCAGGCCGGCGGCGGCTCACGCAAGTCGCTGTTCACCGGCGGCGCGGCGGGTGGCGAGCCGTCGCCACCAGCGGACAGGGAAAACGTGCCGGCGGCGGCAGCTGGCCCGACCCGGCGGCCGGCCTCAACCGCTGCCGCCGACCTGCGACGGTCGACAGCCGCCGCGGACGCCATGCAGTGAGGGGAGCGCGTGGCCGCACGGCGCCCCCGGCGGCTTGCTGACCACGCCCGTGCAGCAGTACCGCAGCGTGTTCGACACGCCCGTGTCCTTATGTAGGCCTGGGGACTCCGCCAAGCTGAAGAAGGCGCTGGCTACGCCGAAGCTGCGGTGGAAGAAGCACGCGAGCGACGTGCTGCCACTTTCTGGGGCCGACAGTCCACTGCCGGCGCCCCCTCCACCAGCTCCGGCCTCTGTGTCGAAGCCGAGAAAAGAGAAGTCCCTATCGGTGCTGTGTGCTAGGTAAATGGACTCCTTATCATGAATAATCATGTTAACTGTAGGTAAAAACAGTTTTTCCTTGTTGGAGTGTGCAACAAAGAACGTTGCACTCTGAATTTTCGTAGTTAATTTTCGTAGTTTAAAAAAAAGTTCGCAGTAACTTGTTATTCAGCATGTTTTTGTGTTGTTTATCACGGTCATATACGATGTAAGTATTTCAGTGAAGTCTTAAAATTGTCTTAAAGCTTTATATGTCCCTTATGATTTGACGTCGAACCCTCTGCAAATCGCAACTGGATTTAGGCCAGTTGGGTACAGCATGGGTGGCTCCTGTCATGTTTCCATGTTCATAAGCTATCCTTCTCCAGGTTTCTGGAAATATACCCGTTGGACGTCGGAAAGGACATGTTCCTCCCCTTAGACGAGACGGCCCTTCTTTTGGGCACTGAGCGAAGAAGAATATATGACATAGTAAATGTTCTAGAAAGTCTGCATTTCTCGATTAAGGTAAGACATGTGTTACGAGTCCCGGGACCTTCTCAACTCCTCCCTGGGGTAATCGCTTTTTTCGCGCGTCCGGGTAATGTTATATAACCGCATGTGCGGAGATGCGTATCCCTGGAAATGTGTTGGCCCATGTGCTCGTCGTGCTACCTTCCCATGGTGGCTTAAGTCACCCAAAACTCACCAAATGACGTTTAATACGAGATGAAAGGCTGTGTTTTTAAAAAGATGTCCTCATGTTTGGTGCCGAGAGATATTCGGACACCTGAATATGGGAGTTAATTTTGCGCTCCCCGGGCTCGTCACTATACATTACTGGGGCTTCCTTCCTTCGTGGGACGTCTGTACGTCAAGATCCATCCCTTGGCTCCAGCAATTTTGGAAGCTTTTAGGTTTGGCAGGTCATTTCAAGATGTCAGTAAGGTTCTGTTGTACGCAGTGAAAACGGGGGTAATCATCTCTGCGGCGCATTCTCGGCGCTCTGCCCAACTGATGTTAAATGGACTTTATGGGGAACTAAATACAAACTCAAGGTTCATCCTAACAACTGAGGCATGTGTACAAACCCTGTAACACACAGATGAACCCGAATCTGCATCGCCCTCGACCCTGATTCATGACGCCAATCGACAACGCCTCTGCCGCAGCTGGAAAAGAACCGGTACGCGTGGATCGGTAGGCGCGACCTGTTGGAGACGCTGGGTCGGCTGAAGGGGCTGGCGCTGCACCTGGAGCTGCCGCAGCACCTGCGGGCGGCGCTGCAGGTGTCCGGACGGCCTGCAGTCGCCGGCGCTGCGTCGCAATGCGTCCGAGCCGGTGCTGACGGGCGCGACCAGTCCCGGCCTGACGCCGGGTACGCCGCGCACGCCGCTGGCCGCCGACGCCGAGCGGCTGACGCCCCGCGACCGCGGCGACCGCACGCTCGGCGTGCTTACTCAGAAGTTCGTCATGCTGCTGCTCGTCAGCGACCGGGTTAGTCTGGTCAGCCGCTGCCCGGTGTGACTGGTGGGAAGCCAGGGGTGCTCCCCGAGCGGGGCTCGATGGCCTGTGGTGGCCTCTGGCCATCCACCGCCAGGCGCTGGTGGGAAGCCAGGAGTGCTCCCCGAGCGGGGCTCGCTGACCTGTGGCGGCCTCTGGTCAGCCACCGCCGGGTACTGGTGGGAAGCCAGGGGTGTTCCCCGAGCGGGGGTCGCTGGCCTGTGGCAGCACGACTCGCGGTGTCTGTGCCGCTGCTTAATACCAGGACACCGCAGTAATATACTTCTTGCTCGGCCGCTTCCCTTGGTCTTGTGTTGAGGGCATCGTCCGTCGGTCGGTGGTTATCACAGGACGCTGGCGCGTTCCCTATCACCAGCCAGGTGGCACCGCTGGTGGGATAGTGTTATGGGCCGCCGTCCCGCCTAGTGCCTCACTGTTGGTCGGTCGTCTCCAGCCGTGGCTGAGTCAGGACGTGCTGGCGCGGGTGCTGCTGGGCCAGGACGGCCTGTCGCCGGACGGCCAGCACAAGGCGAAGGTCCGCCGGCTCTACGATATCGCCAACATCCTGCAGAGCGTCGGCCTGGTGGGCAAGGAGACGAGCGGCGCCTGCCGGCGGCCGCTCTTCGCCTACACGGGCGCGCACGTCGACCCGATCCCGGTGGAGCCCGGTATGTCGCCGTCGGGGCCGCTCCTGCCGGCGCCGCTGCGCCGCTGTCGTGATAGCGCGTCACAGGCATTGCCCGTTGTCATGGTGCGCCGCTTCAGATCGGCTAGGCTGGTGTGCTGTGGTGGCAACCATGATACAGGTTTTCATGTGCTGATGTATTCTGCATTGCGGAACAATGTCGTAGAGGCCAAGTAAAGGCTGCGCTTTATTTCAAACTATTCTGGCCTAAAGGCTTGAAGACGGGTTCGTTAGGTTTGATGTTGGTGGAACGGATTGACCGCATCCCGAAACTTGAATCCACGTAAGGTTGTGATGTACATGGAATGACCGACAGAGACTCCACTCAATAGTTGACCACAAGAAGTCACCGTAGTGGAAACATGGCGATCGCAACCATACGGGGAAAATAATTTTATTTTGGTCTGGCACGAAGGCCTCCTCCGTGCTAGTCAGCCAGCGCTAGCCAGTGCCTGAACGCTCCGCTTGGTTATGCTCTTGCGGGGGCTGCTGCGTTGACAGCGTCGAAAGCCAGCGCCTTGCGAAACGCGGACAAATAGCGTGGGTGTTGCCGGAGGGGTCCTGTATGATCGCAGCAGATGACTAGCCCATAACAGTGCGTAGGCCGTGCCTGTTGGTCTTACGACCCGTGACCCGTGCCTTTGATCTGACGACCCGTGCTTGTTGATCTGACGACCCGTGCCTGTTGATCTGACGACCCGTGCCTGTTGATCTGACGACCCGTGCCTGTTGATCTGACGACCCGTGCCTGTTGATGTCACGACCCGTACCTGTTGATCCCACGACCCGTACCTGTTGATCCCACGACCCGTGCCTGTTGATCCCACGAACCCGTACCTGTTGATCCCACGACCCGTGGCCTGTTGATCCTACAACACCTTGCCTGTTGAGTCACGACCCGTACCTGTTGATTCCCACGACCCGTGCCCGTTGGTCCCACGACCCGTGCCTGTTGATCCCACAACCCATGTCTGTTGATCCCATGACCCATGATCCGTGCCTGTTGATCCTGAGAGGTGCGCGCGCCACCGGACGGTGACGGGTGGTGCTGGCCTGTTTCAGACATGCAGCGGTCCCGGCATTCGCTCATTCCCACGACACCACTGCTGCGGAGGCCGGCCGGTCTGGCAGCGCCGCGCTCCGCAGGCGCCAGTGAGTGAGGCTTGTTTGCGAGCGCCGGAGCCCCCGCCGTCGGACGGCCGGCTCCGGGGCGCGTGGCCCCTGACTGCGATCCTGTGAGCGCCTGCGGACACATCCGTTGGGACTGACGGTTCCCTTTGGCACCGTGTCTTGCAGTAACGCTATCTCCGCGCACGTGATGGATGCCCGTTCTCCGTTCCGGTTCCTTGTTCGTGTACTGTGTCGTCGGCTGGAAAACAGTATTGATTGTCGCGCGGCTTAGATTCACGCTGCGGCAGTCCCGTACCGACGGTAAAGTTTGTGGAGGGGACGAAATTTTCCTATGCAATTTCACTACGTTAAGTTTTAATTGAAATTACCTAAACGAATGGTTTTACCTTTCCTGAACACTGCCCTAAAAATCGTGTACTTAATTTCAGAGTCGTTATTAGTTTGCGGTGTATCATTGCTGTGACGTCTTCGTCCAGTGGTTCGGCTCAGCTCGGTCAGAGAGAGACGTGTAGCGACGCGGCGATCTGTGTTGAACCGAGTCCAGCGGCCGTCCTGCCCCTGCTATCCCAGGCAGACACGACATACCATTTAGTTCGGGTGAACAATCACTCATAAGTCAGCTTGCACACACGCGCCTATCACGCGTCCCGTACGGTCCGCCGCGGGACGGCGGTCAGCGCCCGCGGGCGATAGGTCGCGTTCCACCCGCGCGGCCGAGGCCGCGCCGCGACACGGCTGGGACGCATGATGTGCCTCCGGGCCGGCTGGGCGTGCTCACAACAATTGTCACTGCAGATGTGCAAGGAACGTCCATAGCAGTATCTTGCCGTACTTTGTGGCGTCGATCATCTTTTGTAGCGTGCACTTTCTGCACGGTGAATTTTTCTTCTTCGACAGCTTGTCACAACCTGGACGATTGCTTGCATCATGTAGAAGCATGGTTCTGCAGCCAAATGCAAGCGATTCTATTTGCGGCCGCTGATCGTAGCGGCCATATCATGCGTCTGGTGACCGCTGATCCAGCGCGGCCTTCTCGCCAGCGCCGCGCACCGGACGGAGCGGACCGCCGACGCCGGCCGGCACGCCACGCGCCCTCTCGCGGCCGCCGTCGCTCGACGACATCTGCCGCGTGACGGCGCTCGAGCGGCACCGGCTGTTCGAGCAGACGGTGGACGGCAGCCGTGGCAAGAGTGTGTTGAAGCGGCGGCTAGCTGAGGTGCAGCGCGCTCAGGCTGAGGTAAAGCGAGCTGCCCCGACGCCGACGCCGACGCCGACGCCGACGCCGCCGCCACACCACCGCCGCCACCGCCACCGCCGCCCGTCAGCCGTCTGTCGCCAGCGCAGCACAGCCAGCTGCGCCAGCTCGGCGTCAAGCGCATCCTGATCCGGTCCGGCGACGGCTCCAGCCAGGAGATCTACGTACGCCACACGGGCGGCCGCCCGGCCGGCGACGGCGACTGCCGACGGTCCGGCCGGCAGCCGGCTGGAGGCGGCGCTGCGCGGCTCCTGGCTGGCCGCCGCGCCGGCCGCCACGCCTCGGCCCGCAGGCGGCTGCTGGCACCCCGACACCCGCACCACCAGGTGGTGGCCTACCAGCTGGTGCCGGTGGTGCGCGCCGTCACCGCCGGCGGCGGCGGCGTCCGCCCGCCAACGCCGCAGAACAGGTGCGTCTTGCCGCGTGCTTGGATCGCCTCCAGCAGCGGCGCACGTGCCCGTCACCAATCCTGCGGTCTGTTTCGGTCGCGTTCGGCTGTTTACATAGAGTGCACAGCCTCCGAGCTGTAGCAATCCAGGCAATCCTTGATTACGAAACTCCATGGGTGATCTTTGCTCCCGATTCTTGCAGTCCTGTCGAATGTTGTAACTAACGCTATGCATTGGCGTACGCGTCCCGCGGCCATTGTGCTATCTTGTCAATCCCAGCTGAACCATTTCCACTAAGTTCATATTCGATCCATATTCATTTCATATTGCCTGCACTGCTTGTGCACATGTCTGAGCTCTGGTTTCATTCAAATCCATGGGTCACTGTCAATGTCCTGCATACCGTACAGCATGCATGGCCACTGCTGTGACGGGTTGCGTCATTGGCGGCGCGGCCGTCGCGCGTCTGTCCTCCGTCGACCGGCACCCCGGCCGTCCGCCTGTCCTCCTGTCCGTCTGTCCGCCTGACCGCCTGACCCGTGCCCGCGCCGCAGACCCCAGTCCCGATCCTGTACGACGACCGCACTTGCCTGTCGTTGCCGGACCGGCGCGCTGCTGGACGCGGCCAGCGTGCCCCCGACCCTGCTGCCGGCCGGCACGCCCGAGAACCTGCTCACGCCCGGCACCATGACCTTCGTCCGGGGGCGGTCACCGCCCAGCGTGTCACCTGGTGTCGCCGCGTTTGCGGTTGAGAGCAGCGTGGTGGATCCCTAGTGGGTCCCCGTTCCGCTGGGCGTCCCCACTGTCGCCCCACGTTCGAGCTGAGCTAAGGAGCTGTCATGAGTTGATGTTTTGTTCAGCGCCAACAGAGGATTACTCCTCGAGTCCACAGGTGTCCCTCCACAGATCATCACGCTAAGGCTTCAGCAGGTAGTCAAATGTGTGATGCGCATTATAAGGTTATGTACGCTTACGAATTCGGACCGGAATATGCTCGTGCTCACTCGTTTTGAAACGGCATCAAAGAATTCCGAAAGAAGAAGGCAGCAATCCATTGTGATAGGTTATTACGGTGCAGAAAGAGAAAAGTCACGACTTCTCATGGTATTCAGAAACCCGACTGCATGGCCTTTGGCCAACAAACCCATCACCATTTGCGTAGGGTTCGAATGATCTTCAGAGTGAACATCGCCGGACTAGGCTCCTTGAAACGTTTGTGAAAACTATGGATAGAAATGCTACCACCAAAACTTCGCATCACGAGTCTCACAGACAGAGTTATCAGGACACACCTCACAGAGTGTGTTCTGATAGCTCGAGTGACGCCGCCCCGAGTGACGGTCGTAGTGATCTCACTGCCGCCCCGAGTAACGGTCGTAGTGATCTCACTGCCGCCCCGAGTAACGGTCGTGATATCACTGCCGCCCCGAGTGACAGTCGTAGTGATCTCACTGCCGCCCCGAGTGACGGTCGTAGTGATCTCACTGCCGCCCCGAGTGACGGTCGTAGTGATCTCACTGCCGCCCCGAGTAACGGTCGTAGTGATCTCACTGCCGCCCCGAGTGACGGTCTTAGTGTTCTCACTGCCGCCCCGAGTGACGGTCGTAGTGATCTCACTGCCGCCCGAGTGACGGTCGTAGTGATCTCACTGCCGCCCCGAGTGACGGTCGTGATATCACTGCCGCCCCGAGTGACGGTCGTAGTGATCTCACTGCCGCTCCGAGTGACGGTCGTAGTGATCTCACTGCCGCCCCGAGTGACGGTCGTAGTGATCTCACTGCCGCCCGAATGACGGTCGTAGTGATATCACTGCCGCCCCGAGATAACGGTCGTGATCTCACTGCCGCCCCGAGTGAGACGGTCGTAGTGATCTCACTGCCGCCCCGAGTGACGGTCGTGATATCACTGCCGGCCCCGAGTGACGGTCGTAGTGATCTCACTGCCGCCCCGAGTGACGGTCGTGATTCATCACTGCCGCCCGAGTACGGTCGTAGTGATCTCACTTGCTGATTTGTGGTCCTGGTTGCCTCGCTGGATAGTATATATTGTTACTTGACTGGCTTTTTAATAGGGCCGGTTGCGAGCGCACTCAGTACCCGCTTTTGAACCGTTTGCTCAGATGTGACCTGTTGCCATTGTTGAACAAAAGCCTCCCGTGATCAGACATAGTCCAGTGTATGTCAGACGGAGCCTAGTACCCTGCACTGACGTAAATCATTTGTTTGGTTATATAAGTGCCAGTTTTGTTAGGCATAGCTTATTGAGAGCTGGCGCAGCCACTTTTTTTATATGAATCCTGACATACGATGCATCCTGTGATCTGACCCAGTAATTCCTGTCGTTGCAGAAGCAGTCTCGTCCGGCACTATAAAGACGGTGTGTGCAACATGTCGTTGACGCCAGAACTGGCCGACGCCGAGCGAGCCGGAGCCAACCGGACGGGCCCGCGGTCGACCTGCGTCCCGCGCCAGCCGCCGGCTCCAGATGGAGTGAGTCAGGGGGGGCTGGGCCGGCCACCGGCTCCAGCTCCAGATGGAGTGAGCTCAGGGGCGGGCTGGGCCGGCTGCCAGCTCCAGATGGAGTGAGCTCAGGGGCGAGCCGGGCCGGCCGCCAGCTCCAGATGGAGTGAGCTCAGGGGCGAGCTGGGCCGGCCGCCAGCTCCAGATGGAGTGAGCTCAGGGCCGGGCCGGGCCGGCCGCCCGCTCCAGATGGAGTGAGTCAGGGGCGGGCTGGGCCGGCCGCCAGCTTCAGATGGAGCGATTCAGGGGCTGGCGGGGCCGGCCACCGGCTCCAGCTCCAGATGGAGTGAGCTCAAGGGCGGGCTGGGCCGGCCGCCAGAAGATGGAGTGAGCTCAAGGGGGGCTGGGCCGGCCGCCAGCTCCAGATGGAGTGAGCTCAGGGGGGGTTGGGCACCGCCAGCTCAGATGGAGTGATTTCAGGGGTGGCCGGGCCGGCCACGGCTCCAGATGGAGTGAGCTCAGGGGCGGACCGGGCTGGTCCTGCCACCGGCTCCTGATGGAGTGAGCCGAGCAGGCAGCTTCAGAATGCCCCAGTATGGGCGTCCAATCGCGTAGGAATGTTCCTCGTGGTGTTGGGTGTTGCTGGGTATGTGTGCTACGTTTCAGCGGGGGGAATGCTTGTAATGAGCGCCGGGTTTGAAACCCAGGCCAGGCTTGTTTGAAGATTAACAACCTGCTAGATGGGCATTGTAGTAGTGGGGTACTTCATTCGACTGGGATCAGATATATTTT